GCTTGGCAGTGTCCCATCTCGAGATGTCCTTCTTACGGAGGGTGAATGTCGCAGTAGCAGATGCACCAGGCTCAATATTGAGCTTGACAAAGCCTCTCAATGCTCTAGTGTTTACTGTGCTTGAGTTCGATGGCTTGGCACTCCCTGGAGGGATCAAGATGTACAGCTGAGCCACTTCTGCCGCCACGACCAGTCCTGTGTTCTTTACAGTCGCTGTGATGGTGCCGGCTGTATCAAAGAGACTGCTGAAGCCTGCTTGTGAGACATCCGTGCGGTTGACGTTCTGCTCTGTGGTGCCGTTCGTGTAGACTGGTGCTCCGCCAGTACTACTTTGATCCGTGGCGACTGCATCGATACTGACGGTCAAAGCACTGTATTCGAATGTCGAGTACGTCAAGCCGTAGCCGAACGGAAACCTCGGGGTCTTGGCTGCAGCCAGAAATCCTCTGTAGTCAATGTTCACACCTTCAGTGAATTCGCATTGTGGGTTCGTGCTATCATCCGAGTCTTTCGCTAGACAAGGACCTTGTAGGTTACCATAGTCTGCAGCTGATTTCGCGACCGTGTATGGCAGCCGACCAGAAGGACTGACATCGCCATACAGGATTTGTGTTAGTGCTCGTCCAGCATCTTGTCCTGGTAGATGGGCGAAGATGACTGCGGTGACATTGGGATTGTCAATCCAGGCATCTACCAAGCGAATGCCGGCATTGTGTATGACGACGATAGTGTTATTGCACTTCGATGCCACATGACTGACTAGTATGTCGGAGCCAGAGTCAGCTAAGGCAGGACGATCGAATGTCTCTGAAGCAAACTCGTTGATGAAGACTAGACAAGTGTCTGAAGCAGCAGCAACTGTGGGATCCTGAGAAGTGAAGTCGCTGTACAAGGAAGTGCCGTCCAGATATGCTCGATCCTGGATAGCATCGTATGGCGTGCTGATGTAGGCTGGGACATTCGAGCCTGACCCGCCTCCCACTAGCAGTACTCCTCGATAGATCTCAGGTGCATCATCTACAGGTGCATTGTTTGCAATCTCGCCAGCCTGCGCATACGTCAGATTGATGCCTTGCCATGCGAATTGCCAGAAGTCTGGTGCTCCTGGCACAGCCATATAGGCAGCAGGATCCTGTGCGATCTGGCTGACAGCATCATAGCCGAAGATTGACATGACTTTCGGCTTCCTGAGCGGCAGAGCGCTGTTGTTGTTCTTGACCAAGACATGGCCTTCTATTGCTTGCTGTAGAAGCGAAGGCTGTGCTGCAGGATCTCGAGCGTTGACGAAGGTGTGTGGCTTCGAGATGTCTATCGGCATACCGACTCCAAACGATGGATAAAAGGGACTATCCTGGCCTGCTTTATACCATGTTGCGACTATCCGAGTGGCCATGTCAACGAGTCGCGTCCTGTTGAGATCTCCGCTTGTTGTGGCATTTCCGAGTTGACCATTGCTCCAGTAAGCTGAGTTCGGCATGGCCATGTCAAGGCCTGCATTTGCCGATAAGGGACCACTGTGCTGCGCTGCCCAATCGCTCACGACGAAACCTTGGAAATTCAGCTCGCCTTTAAGAAGACCATTGATGACCTTGCTATTCTCACAGCTGTAGGTGTTGTTGATCCTGTTGTAGCTGCACATGACTGCTCCAACTCCTGCAGCGACTGCGTCTTGGAAGGGCCAGAGATACAGCTCGTGCATAGTCTGGTCGTCGATATTGGCACTGGTGCTCATAGTCGATGAATCTAAAACGGGGTTGCGATTTGTCTCCTGCTCATTGGCAACGAAGTGCTTCACACAGGCAATGACATCCTGCTGCTGAAGTCCTGTGATCGAGTGAGCCACCATGACGCCGTCGAGGTAAGGATCGGCCGCAAAGCCTTCCCAGTTACGACCTCCTTCCGCGATGCGTCCAATAGGCCCAACGACGGGTCCGAGAACGACGTTGACACCTTTTGTCCTGAATTCGGCACCCATGTATCCGCCTCTCTGAAGAGCCAAGGAGGAGTTCCACGAAGCGCCAATTGAGATACCAGAAGCATATGAGTTGACGCCATCCGTGGCTCGCACGCCATTGCCAGCATCCTGAAGACAAAAGCCTGGAAAGCCCAGTCGCGGAACACTGCCAGAGCTACCAACGCAGCCTGTGTTGGAGGACATGCCATATGTGATGTTGTTCATCTCTTGTAAAGTCATGTTAGCTACAAGAGCTTGAGCCTTTTTATATGCATCAGCCCAATCGCCAACGCCATATCCTGCGGCTATGAAGGGTCAGTAGTTGCACACGTTATCTGAAGATGACGCCTCACGAGAAGGATAAGTAATGGGACTTGTGTATTCAGCCTTTGCAGAGTGTCGATTCCGTAGGGCTAGTAAGCCCAGCAATGGCAATAGAAGCAACATAGCAACGATAGCGATGGTCAATCGAGGCCGTCGTTTCCAGAAGCGCGGTCGTGATGAGGACGCTCTATTGACTTGTGCTATGCTTGTCGACGACCGAGACTTCTCCATTGATGTCGGTATTGTGCAACTTTGGTCTGTTGTGCGATCATCTCGTCGAGGAGTGTTGCATGGTTGTGGTGTCTAAAGAGCACTGCGCTGGTGATTTTCGTTGAGAGTACATCTATCGTATCGTCGTGCATGGCCGGCTTCGAAGGATGTAGAGGCGATGATCAGCCCGGCGTCTCCACGGTAACGTAGTAGTACACCATGGTTGGTGATCGACTATATATGAACGTCAAGCATGAAACTGATGCATAATGCACGTCAGATGAGCCGTTCGATGCGCCTTGTGAGATAACTAGCAAGGACATTGTAGTTTCAGGTGTGTGTCTCCGACAAGATGCAGCACATCTCGCTGATCTCAAGCTTTGTAGCACTGCTTCAAGTGATCTTGCTCAGCGTACTCCTATATGCACACAGAGTCGCTCACTCCGCATCATCCACCTTGCTTTCACACTCTCATGGTGTCCCCGGCGTGTATGTACCCATGTGATGTGAAGAAAAAGCTAGGCCATCGTAAATTGCCGTGGTAGCAGTTCCAGTCTCTGCTTTCCCCCACGCACTCCGGTCTTCGGCAGCAAATCATCTTCGATCTGTTTATTCTTCCGAGTTATCGTCATTGTCACTACATCCAACACAACTCACTTCTACAGACACCTCTGCGGCCTTCGACGACCACATACGTTATGGCTGCTCACGACTGCTAATCACACCTTTCAAACGCGTGGCTGACACGTCCAGAACCGCCATCAACCGGCAATACCATCTCAAACTCCGATGCTCCAGACACAACGCTGAACAAAATACATAATTGTCAGCAATTCGATGAGTGTGACCGCTCAAGGCGCTGTCAAGCATGGCGAGCCTGTCTTACCATCCTCATGCACGACCCCAGTAATGACCACCGAGAAGAAGCGCAAAATACCGAAGCAGAGCTGGGACTATGTCGTTCGCAGCGGCACTGCGGGTGGACTCGCGGCCTGCGCTGCAAAGACCGTCGTTGCGCCTCTCGACAGGGTCAAGATCCTCTTCCAAGCGAGCAACCCACAGTTTGCGAAGTACACCGGCTCATGGGCTGGTGCTGTCAGAGCTATGAGCGATATCTACCAAGAGATGGGCGTTCGAGGTCTCTTCCGAGGACACTCTGCAACACTACTTCGCATTTTTCCATACGGCGGCATCAAATTCCTAGCATACGAACAATTTCGAGCGATCATAATACCTACGAAAGATTTGGAAACACACTACAGGCGTTTTGTGGCAGGTGCGTGCTCCGGCTGCATGTCTGTTTTCCTCACATACCCACTGGAGGTCATCAGAGTGCGGCTTGCATTCGAGACGAAGAGCCAGGGTCGTGCAACATTGCGAGACATCTGCAGGACGATATACAATGAGCGACCACCGAGCGCAGTGCCACAAGCTGCAACGCTACAGAAAGCGCATATCCCTCAAGGTGCTGCTGTGGCCATGGCTGAGACGGCTGCCGCTGTAGCACCCAGCCACGGCTTCGTCAACTTCTTCAGAGGCTTCACTCCGACGCTATGGGGAATGATACCTTATGCCGGAACATCCTTCCTCACACACGATGCTGCTGGAGATTTCATGCGCCAGCCTAGGTTTGCAAAATACACACTTCTGCCAATGACAGCAGCAGAGCTGGAACGACTACCACCGTCAAAGCCCAGACCGCTACGAGCGTGGGCAGAGCTGACTACTGGTGCCGTAGCTGGGCTCATCAGTCAGACAGTGTCATATCCACTTGAGGTCATCCGACGACGAATGCAAGTCGGTGGTGTGGTTGGTGATGGCCATCGCTTGACTATGCTGGAAGTTGGCAGGAACATCTTCAGAGACAAGGGATGGCGAGGCTTTTTCGTCGGCCTGGGCATCGGCTATGTGAAGGTCATTCCGCTCGCTGCTACCAGTTTCTTTGTCTACGAACGACTGAAGATCACCTTCAACATATGAGCCACCATTGGCGCCACAGCTTGTGACCACGTCTGAAGCGGAGTTCTGAAGCAACTGAAGTTACTACTACGAAGAGAGCAGAAGATACGCTGGTACATCACCAGAAAACGTACGACTGCTTTTGCGAATGCTTTCCTCGCTGACTACGCCATACACGAGACGAGTGTAGCGATATCGCCGATGCACATCTGAATCAGTGTCCACCAACGCAAGAGACGATGACAGAGACATATAACATAATGCTATAGAGCATCAACTACACATTGCGATCCAATACCTCACCCCTGACAAGCTGCCGCCCGAGACATGATGCTTCATCCTCGTCCGTCTGGCTTGCATTGGACCAGACGATTGCAACGCCAGATGGATGTCAACTTGACAGCAGAACTTTGGCTACAATGCAGACTGCGGCATGTGGACGGATCCATTCGACTCCGGTGCACGACAGTACATTCCTGGAAGACCCGGGAGTGGAGAACCTCTGCTGTGGCACTATAAGGGGCGTCTCGGGTTGTTCCGCCTTCCATTCTTCACACCTGTGACGAAGTGGTATCGTGCCGTTCTTATATTTGTCAAGCGATGCTCGACCTATATGGCAATGCGGAAGTCGAGGGTTCGAACCCCTCCAGGTGTAACTGTTAGCACGCTGTCACCACTCTTTTTGCAGGTTTGAAGGACGAGACGAGATTTTGGCATCAATTCACTTACACTCGATCTATGGGCATTCGCGAGGAAGGCGCGCAAATTGTGCAGCTTTTTGCTGCGCTGTTTGTGTGGGGCGGAGGACATCCGCTTTGAGCGGTTCCGACTGCTTCGATGACCTCCACTTTCAGCAGATCCGACAAAGCAGTGAAGAGCATCTGCTGCCAAGCAGAGCATTTCTCAGCAGAATATGTGGATCGCTGCTGAACGAGGTACAAGTATGAGTCTTTCCTTGGTACCCACTGCTTCACGGCCATAAATTTGATCTCAGCTAAGATGTCTTTGCATGCTCTCGCAGGCATTGAGCTCGCGTCCCAACCAAGCAAGGACGTCACATTCCCGACTGCTGTAAAGACGAGAACCGTCGGACCTACCATTGAGGAGCTTGATGCTATCTATCTACCCGAGTATCCAACGAGCAAGACTCCCTCCAGACTTGACTCAGGACTAGTCACACCAGATCTCGAGGCCAGCTTACCACCAACGCCACACCAGCACCTTACATCGACTGCAGTTGTCCCAACGATATGGTTTCCATACATGAATCGATGGCGAGTGCTAGCAGCGTGCATGGTCTATCTCGCCAACGGCATCAATGACAGCTCGACTGGCGCACTCATTCCTTATCTCGAGTCCTGGTACATAATCGGCTACGCTGTGGTCTCGTTGATCTTCGTCACCAATGCTGTTGGATTCATCCTCGCTGCTTTCTTCGCAGACGCAATCTGCGACCGTCTAGGACGAGCGAAGAGCTTGATGCTCTCCGAGTGCATCATTGCGGTAGGCTACGTTATCATAGCAACCACGCCGCCGTTCGGCGCTGTCATTGCAGCGTATCTGGTTCTGGGATTTGGTTCAGCACTCAATCTGGCATATAATAATGTCTACTGCGCAGGTCTGGCACAACCGACGATCATCCTTGGCCTGGCACATGGCTCGTACGGTATTGGTGGCATACTGGGCCCGGTCATGGCTACAGCGCTTGTCTCAAGCGGTGTCATATGGTCACGGTTCTTTTTCATAACCATTGGGCTCCGAGCGTTGTGCCTCGTCCTCGTCGGCTGGTCCTTCTGGAGCTATGAGGAAGAAGAGATGACCCATTTCAGTCAGAATCTCGAGCGTCTGGCATCGCAACAACGAGCAGAAGAAGGACAACCGAGTAAGATACAGATGCTTGGTCAAGCACTTGCCAACAGGACGGTGTTGATCGGTGCACTATTCATCTTTGCATATCAAGGAGCTGAAGTCGCCGATTCTGGCTGGTTCATCTCGTTCCTGATCAACTATCGAGATGGAGATCCAGCGCATGTCGGATACGTGACTTCAGGCTTCTGGGCTGGGATCACAGTCGGCAGGTTCGTGTTGACACATGTGGCACATCGAGTCGGCGAGAAGACATTTGTCTTCGGTCTTGGCATAGCGTCTATCGTCTTTCAGACGATCGCATGGCTGGTGCCCAGCATCATAGGAGATGCAGGTGAGTTGTAAACCTTGATCACTGACTTGACTGATATAATTAGTTGCCATCAGCATTCTCGGCCTGGTACTTGGTCCAATCTACCCTTGCGCACAGACGGTCTTTTCGAGGCTATTACCAAGAAAGCTGCAAGTGGTGGGCGTGAGCTTCATCAGCAGTGCTGGATCGAGTGGAGGCGCTGTGGTGCCATTGATGACTGGCTTGATTGCCCAAGCTGTCGGTACCTATGCCCTGCATCCCATATGCATTGCATTCTTTGCAGCCATGCTCGTAGGTTGGGCTCTTCTTCCCAAGGTCGACAAGCGACGGGAATGAACGAGTACGGGCGCTGTAGCCACAATGAAGGACCACATCGTGGGACGATAGAGCGGAGCAGGCACATTTACAGATAGACCGGACCCTTGGATGCTCACTTCATTACGAGTTTCGCAACTTTCATGATGTTGGTGCCATTGTGATTGTAATACTCAATCCAATGTGCTGATACAGCATATGATTGCATAATCGACCATTCCCGACCTCAAACCTTTGTCTCAACATGAATCGTCGTGCCATCACTCAAGCCCATCTCTTTCTCAGCAAGAACAGCGCCACTTGGATCTTCCAGTGCGTGTGGAACCAGCTGGTCTCCAAAGAGCTCGTCAAGCTGCTCGAGTGTCTTGCCCTTCGTCTCTGGGTAGAAGAAGAAATAGCACAAAAAGGCGATAACGTTGAAGGCGAAGAAGACGTAGAAGTACTTGAAGCCAATGTTGGTCAGAGCAGTCGGAGTGAACTGTGCAAAGATGAGGTTTAAAATCCAATTGGTGAAGGTTGTGATGGCATTTCCAAGAGCACGAACCTCGACTGGGAATATCTCGGCAGGGTAGACCTATGATCGTTAGCTTATGCTGCTACCTTCTCGAATGCGTACACATACCCAGCTGATGATGCCCAGTGGGGTGTAGAACAGCGAGAACACGAAGTTCATTGCTACCATGGCTCTGAGCTGATTTGTGTTGGATTCATTGAAGTAGCCGGCCATAACTGCGTTGGCAAGCAGGGCTGCAGCAAGACCAATAGCAGATATCATCAATGGCCTGACACGACCGATCTTGTCGACAATGAGCAGTCCGATGGTGCAGTAGACAATAGAGAGAGCACCAGAGATACCAATAATCATCAGTGACGTCTGAGTGTCGATGCCGAGGATACTGTAGATGCGAGGACCGTAGTAGTTGATCACGTTGATGCCTGAGAGTGGACCGAATGCCTGCACACCGCAGCCAAGCAAGAGACGCTTCCTTCGTGCTGGCATAGTGAATATAGTCTTCCATGAGGTCTGGCCATTGATTCTGTCGGCCGCAATAACATCTCGAATCTCAGCCAGCTCCAATTCGATCTTGTCTGTGCTATTGGAGTCACGGAGCCTTGTGAGGACACGACGAGCCTCATCTTGCCGATCTTGCTCCATGAGCCATCGCGGTGATTCGACCATGAACGCAATGCCGCACAGGAGAATGGAAGCTGGTAGGATCTGGAAGGCAAGTGGGAAGCGCCATTGCACAGTTCCGCTGGCAAACGACATACCATATCCAAGCCATTGAGCAACCAAGAAACCCCAAGACAGAAACCATTGCAGCAGGCCAGACTGGAGACCTCGCCATTGGGGAGGCGATATCTCTGCGGCGAAGAGTGGGATGGTAGAGGTCAATATGCCTACTGCTGCACCACCAATGAAGCGACCGATGATGAGCATAGACATGGCAGCAGCACCGCTCTGCAGTGCACTTCCAATGACCGAGACCAAGGCGCCGACGAAGATGGTCCTCTTTCGTCCGAGTCTGTGTGCTAGCAACATATTGAAGATCGTGCCTAGGACAGCGCCTCCTTGGAAGGCAGAAACGACACCGCCGGTGGTGGCATCATCGGGGTTGTTGAAGTACGAGGTAAAGGAATCGACTGAGATGGCTTGAGTGATGATACCACTACGGTGTGTCAGTGTTGCATCTGGTGGACTATCTTGTATGTTACCTGTCGAAGCCGAAGAGGAAACCTCCGATTGCCAAGAAGGCTGAGGTGAATAGAGCAGACGACTTGCCCATGATGTCGATCGGGAAGTGTGTTCACTCAGCTAGTGAGACTTCGATGTGCGTCGACGACGATCGATCCTGTCTTTTGTGGAGTCTTTCTGGGGTAGAAGTCTGGGGTTGATATATAGACCCCTCGTCTTCATGTCGGGAGGAGGATGTCCACGCGAGACACACGTGGACAAGGGTGAAAGATCACCGAGTCGATGAGGTTCTTCATCGCGTTTGAGGTAATCGAAGCCGCCGAGGGCCTGGATCAGTCGGACCACAAGACTGTGGACGGCGTCACTGCAGTCGACGCGTCCTACGGGTTATCTTGCTCCGACGACCAGTCTTTGCACTCCGGCTGGCCGAGTCGGCAAGCATGCTCATCTTGTGCTGACTCGAGGCCAATGCAAGGCGCGACAGATGTTATATGGCGTGATGTATACTGTCGATGGATTGTCCTTGATTGCGCATGAAACATGGAGGTGATTAGGACTGGTATTCACGGCTTCGCGGATGCCTTAGGCATTGACACGAACGAGCTCGCCTTCTTTTGGTCACTCGACAGCACGGTCACGTGCGATTGTGCCGCATATCTTGTTGTCGTCGATACTTCGAAGAAAGTTGACCTGGACACACACGAGAGGGCCTTCTGGTCATCAGGAAAGATCAACTCGACAGCTCAGAGGGACATTCTCTGTCGACCTGAGCATGGCTTCGCCGCCACCACGCAGTACTACTGGCGAGTGTGGATCTGGGACAGCACAGGTACAGATGTCAGCTCATCATGGTCTGCATTCTTCACCGCATATCCTCGCTCGAATCAATTGCCACCGTATTCCATGAATCAGAAGTATATGCCGCACACGAGTCTGATCTTCAGGAGTTGGTTCGCCGATGAGCATGATCGCTGGAAGGCAATCTGGATTGGCAACGGCACTGACAAGCCGTACTACCTAAGACACAGCTTCAGCCTGCAGCGAGCGCCGTCGCAAGTCATAGCCTTTGCATCAGGCCTGGGTCACTTCAACCTCAGCTGCAATGGTGCTCCAGCAAGCTCACATCTGCTGAGTCCAGGATGGACAAACTACCACAAGACAGTCCAGTTCGTCGCCTTTGACCTGACGGACCAGGTCAACGCTGGTAGCAACACCATCGGCGCTCATGTTGGTAACGGCTTCTATGCCGGCGACCAAGGCGATCGCTTTTTCTGGCCAATGTACGAGGACAACACCTATGTACGATATGGCAACGAGCTGTGCTTCTTCGCAGAGCTGCACGTCTTCTATGATGATGGCCAGCACGATCTAATCATCTCAGACCCTACTACTTGGAAGACACACTCTAGTGCTACCACGTTGGCCAATATATATGCTTCGGAGACCCATGATCGACGTTTGTATC